CAAGTAGCATTTATTGAGATGTGGGTCCATTAATCGTACATAATATGTGTGCGGGCATGCGCCACGACTAAGAAGCCTCATATTATGCGTGAACCGAGTGACCCTTGGTGAAGCAGTCTCATACGCCCTTAATGAATTCCAGCCGGACGTACGATTTCAGAACCCCCCCCCCCAAAAAAAAAAAACGAAGCGAACTTACCCTCCACCCTGCAGCCATGCAAACAAATACATACTTCCAAGGGAATACAAGTGCTGCTTGGCCGTCACACCGCCTCTACCCTACATATGTATCCTATGAACAAAGAGAGCAAAAAAAATTGATTGTGAGTGATAATTGGTGTCTCAACACAAGCTCGGCTGGTCTAGTGGTATGATTCTCGCTTAGGGTCGCACTCTAAGTTAATATGCGAGAGGTCCCCGGTTCAAACCCGGGGTCGAGCCTGATTCAATAGCATAGGACATGTTCCTGTGCTCCCTTTTTACTTTTTGTTATGTAATGTATACTATGCCAGTTTAGTTTTGTATATATATATATGCTATGATGGGTGTTGTGTTTTCGGTTCTACAAGGTTGCTTTGCCGGACGCTGCTCTGAAGCTGTCATCGTGCTATCTTCGAGTTCGAAGACTAGGATTGGCTGGTGAAGCTCATCGGTCCATGGCGGCCCGCATGTGTGTCGCGTCCTTTATTATGAATTTGATGAATATCAATAATATCTCTGACCGGCGTAACGCAAGGTCATTGGCTATCAGCACTTCTGCAAAACAGGAGTAGATGGATGGATATCATATTTCTCGACATTCACCGAGCCATCTAACTAAAGTTTAGAAGGAACTATAGAGTCTGGTATGTCATGCCCACTAGCGAGAATGTGGTACCATCGCAGCGATTGGCCTGCTAGGCACTTGGTCAAGATCTTCTAGGTCGCAAGTGAGATGGACCTTGAGCTTCCAGAAGAGCGGGATCAAAGGTAGAAGAATTGGTAATCTTTGGGGACCACTTTGAAGCTGTTAGCTTGAGAAGAATATGTTTATTTGGGGGGGGGGGGGGGGATTAAGTGATTAAACTAAGTAGATATTGGTGATTTGATTCCTCCGATAATCAGGCATTGTTATACAAGAGCTTGTGCTACCCTCGACCAAGCTGCTGATGTATACGTGTAGTCTATGGTTGGCTTAAGAATGTATTGAGCGGGCCCGAGAAGGTCGAATTTGGTGGGCTTGTTGTGGAGACACTGGTTTAGGGCGGATTGATCAGTAAGAAGATTGAGATATTTTAGAGGTAGATGATGGGTGTTAATTCGCAAATGATGTTGTTGTGGTATATGATGGAGTTGCTACATAGCTAGGAGGTTACACCTGATTGTGCTTCTCGAGAACTACATGTACGTACATGTAGATCCATCGCCGTTGAATCACTAGGGTTACAGCTACAATATACATGTAGTTGTTGGTTGTAAGAACGTAAGTACTCGTCGTTAATTTATTCCGGGCTATAACATCAAGATCGGAATGTCAATTCTGCTGGTCTCCAGGTGAAACATAGGTAACGGTGGTAGTTCATTTATAAATTTAACCATATTTGTGGTGAAAATATGGAATGAAATTCTCTGGAGTGATATATATATGTATGTATATCTCTCAGCCTTGTATGGTGATGCATGCATAGAGCTGAGCAATTGGTAATACGTGGCCCAACTGCGGAAACGATCCGTCTCTCTCGGATAATACGGGTAAGGGGGATCATGAGACTATTTGAATTCTTTATTATCCCCGGAGATACTTTTTAAAGTTTAAGATGCCATGGTTTTTGTGTAGAAAGGGACTCGGCGGTATGACCGGCTCGAACTCGCCATGTAAGAATGGGGATCAATCACAACCACATACCATTAAAAATCGAGGCGCCTAGAAGCAGGAAGGGTATGGTTGATGCATCTAGGCCTACAAATACACCCCGTCATATGATACGAGCCGGAACCCCGCCCAGCTTTATGGACCGCAGTGAACTGTATTTTGTGGCGTGAATCCAGTTCGCAGTACTCTTTTCACATCATTCCCACTCTGCACTCCTGATGCTCACACATACCTTATATTGTATTAGGCATCATACCACATGAGTAACTATTTGTTTTACTCCTGTTAGACCCGAGGGCACATCCAAGACTTTAGAGGGGTATGGATGGAGATGGGATGGAGGTGGAGGTGGGATGAGGGGTGTGTTCATCAACACATGCTTCGATTGTATGTCCCTGAGTTATAAGAAAATCTTCCTTACGGTGGTGGCTGGAGTAGGCTCAACCACCCCTCTTGTTATGCAGCATCATATCATAGGCAGTGTAGCCCTTATGGTCACAGATTCTCACTCGCATAGCAAGAATCACTCTCCTGCGTTGCGTGTTATCAGCAGTCGTGATTCAAGCTTCATATTACGATACATGATATCTTATCCGCTCAATAACGAATGATGAAGAGTTTCGAAGTTCTAAAAAAATTTAAAGATGGTGTTAACATTGAATTCTAGCAACGTTATCACCGCCAAGCCTTGGCTTATCATCCTCTTGCAATGCTTCCCACCCATCATGGTCGATAAAATTTTCAAGAAGAATCGATGCATCACGAAATCGTTGTGAAAGATCTCCCAGACGTTGGCGTTCTCAGACTTTCAAACTCCAGCTGACATGCTTTTGCCTTGTCAACAAAGCCTCGATATTCAGACTGAACTAGCTATATTACTACTGGTCCGGGACGTTCAAAGCTCTGACGGTACTCAATGTCTTGTGGATATAGTAGAGGTCCGTCTTATTAGGAACACGAGACTCCCAATCTGGATTACGTTGGTGGACTGCGAGTGATAATTTGTGAATCACGTACTCTAGCATGTAATCTCATTCCAATAATAGTGAAAAAGGGATAGATCATTCCATGAGCGCAAGCGAGTCGCTAATAGAAAATATTTAGGCTCAGAATACATTCACCGTGGTGTCAGAAGCCAATGAAACTTCAAATTTATAATTAGGAAGTGAGGAATCACTTGATCATGCATGTCAAGGCGCACAAATGAGCAGTGAAACCGCTGATTTTCGCTGTTTAAAATTTTCAAAGTATCATTCTGAGTGGTAGTTTTACCACATCGAGATTCCAGGTCTTACAATTTGCTATGCTAGGTCTCACCATGAAGTGGTGTGACCTGTATCCACCCCCGGGAGACTTGATATACTGTCGGGGATAATCATCGGTCTAAAAATGCCGCGAGGACTAAGTGGGTAATAGGGGATGAGAAGCTTGGCCGTGAAGGTTGGATTATCTCTCAGGAGAAGGGGGATATGCAGTGCATCAACACAATTTATGTGTTCAGCTGAGTTTTCCAGCACTTCCTAGCTCAGATTGTGCTCAACGCACATATCCATGCAACATTTCTTTTAATTAAAACAAGGTTTGACACGCCTGATCCTTCATGTTCAGTGGCTGAAACCTCTTCTGTAAAGAAAGGGGGGGGGGGGGGCAAAAGGTTGAAGAACGAGAGTGGAAGAGATTTTACGCTCAAGGGCGATTTGAGTATGGCTTCCTCCTCCTTAGATCCGGATTGCCGTATTCAAACTTCACTGATCGATATTGGGTCAAAACCCGAGATGTAGGTCCTTTGGGGCCAGGAGATTCGGATATAATCACTGACATTGGTGCATCCCGCGGCCGTTGAGTTGTCAGATGGCACCGATCTCCCATCCTTTGGGACGGGGTGGGAGGTCAATTAAATTACATACTAATAGCAAGCTATGAGATCGAGACTTATCTAGCTTGATACGTATCTTTTCATAAACCTTGACAGGAATACGATATCGAGATTCGATCGCCTAGAGTTACTCTCACTTAATAATCTATAAACGACAATAACAACCGCTGGCGGTAGACTAGGCCGGTATAAGCCTACAGAACCTGCCTCTCAGCTACTAAATGAAAATTGCTCAAATTCTCGAGGTCGGTATCAAGGGTTTTCTAATTGATAGTCAACAATTGTAAGATCGGCAACACTAACTGGTGAATAGGATGTTTTGAAGAGTTCAAATAACCGGGGCCGGTAAATATGCTATCCAATCGGAATAGTGTAGAGAACTATTATTTACGACACAATCTACGATTTGTCCCTGTTCCTGTTATATACAAGCAGCACGATTTCTCGAGACGGGAAAGAAGAACCTGAAATACTAGCTACGAGCAGGGGCTCAATTTGGTGTACGTACTGAACAGGCGCGAATCAGAGGCCATTGCCATCGAAAGTTACTTTCAGGTTCTTCTTTCCTGCCCCGAGTACTAGCTTCACGGCCGCTGCACGCGTTGCCACTTGAGGGAAAGGAAGACGGAAAGAAGAAAGTATTCCTTTTTCGTATACGGCCTTACCTTGAATAACTAATAATCAAGTTAAGGTCAAATAACAATATGTGATCGATCTGGTTGGGAGACCCATGCCCAGAGTCTGAAGTAGGCACGTCTGACAGGGTTATGCAAGTCGATTGAGCACGGTGGTTCAAATTTAGTATCACTAGACGCAGTCCAGGCTATTTACAGCCAAACTGCACATTCATAGAGAAACAGCAATGTTCTGTATGTCTACTACGAAGAAAAAACAACAGAACGACTCATCAAGAAAAGTGCAAATATCTTCCCAAGATCTCTTCCATGCACGTCAGTGGCTCAGCTCAGAAATCGGGCACGCGAGACATTACTCTGATATACGGTGCCGTGAAACTGCAGGAAGGTTAAATAATACCTGGGAAACCACAGGGCCGTTCAGGCGCGTTAGTATACATGTATGTACATGTAGCTACTTCTGATCTACTAACACATGTAGAGTATAGACTTGTGCGGTGAAAGCTAAGCCTAGTCGTTACCGATCTCGCTGGTGAAGCAGGTACTCTATGTACTCTAGAGCAGAGTTCGAAGGTATTGTACCAACATATACTCTAGGGTACACGATAGCGTTTTTTGACTCGCCTTACGAGGCTAGCTATCCGCATTGAAGGGTCAACTAAGGTGGACACCCTGTTTTCAGCTCTAACTAAACGTCGGGCACATGCACGTTATACGTACACCATGCATCTGTGTACCTTTGTGGTGAATTTCTCCGAATAAGCCCTGTAACTAGTATATGTAGGTAAGTCATGTACTCTAGTATGCTCTACATACGTGGTAAAGTTATTGACACCCCCAGGTCAAAGAAAGAGATACAGATTCCCCCCCATAGGTACATGTACCGAGGGTACTCAAGATGTGTACCGGGTGTTGACGGTAAATACGAAGAATCTGATAAGAGAATCTTGCTGTGAAATAGGTGTGTTTATCTTATCAGATTCTCGGTATTTAATGTTAACCCCCGGTACATGTATGTAGATGAAAATACGTTCACACCTCTGCATGTGCCGTTTAGCTGCATGGAGTGGGAAACTACAGGGTTCTTAAGCTTGGTTTAACTATACGCGCTAGGTTAACGTACGGTTTAAAGTACACGGTGCGGGTGCCTAGAAACATTAGCCTGGCGAGAGGTCTCGCAACGCCCCAGGTTTGCATTATGGGGTGCATACATGTACTTACAGAACCTATTGGACAGGCAATATCAAACGGTCTCTAAGTACATGTATGGTATGTAGAGAAGTGGTGGTAGTACTGGTGCTGGTGGTGGTTCTGCTCGGTGTTCCTAGCAACTACCCGGGATCGGGATATCAGCTGCCTCGGAGTACACAAGTGACAAGTAAGCCTTTCTCGGGGCTATTGATCCGATGGAAATCTCCGCCGTCTTACTTCTTTCACTCTCTCCTCCTCCTTCTTCTTCTTACGGATCCGATATGATACATCCCGCTACTTTGGACTGACGGACATCGGGACAAGGGTCATCGCCATACGTGCAGGCTATTATCATGTCTCGGGCCCACGGTAGACAGTTCGATATAAAAATAGCAACTGACCCCTCCAATCTCAACAGTTTGAAGGCAGAAAAGTATTTCTGGAATCTGGAGAAGGGAAGCATCATGGTAGAGTACATGCCTAGATATGTACGTCGTAGTATAAATAGCGTTAGCATCTGGACTGTGCTCTGCTCGGCATCATAGCCACGGGATGAGAACTCAACCTTTCCTTGAGCACGATATGGGATGATATCCGATGGAACGAACAAAAATATGATACCTACATACATGTATGTATGTACTCGCAGCAGGTAACAAGTACCCGAAAATGCACGTCCTAATCTGCAATTTCCATTGGAGTAGAAGTCAAAAATACACCAAAAACTTGCAGCTGCATATTCGGGTACTTCATGCCTGTCGCGAGTAGAGAAGTTGGCATAGAGTAAGTGCATGGGATCAAAAGGAAAAAGCTTGATTGGCACGTTAGTGGTAGATATATATAGGGGTTGTTTCTTTTTCGGTGTTGAAAGAAGCTTCAGCAGTTTTTAGATTTGGATCAAGATGTCACACCGAAAGTACTACCTAGTAGGCATTTCTCTGGTTACACGAGAAGTAGCTGCAGTGGGGAAACGAAACGGATTCGGTGACATGTAGCGGCAATTTTTCGGCTAAAAGACCGATGGGATAGAGGAGACTGTAGAATATTGCTAGTCTCGAGAGTAAGTATCTAAATTACTTTCAGTTATCCATTCAATTCAACTCAGCTAAAGCGGCTGTTCCTGGTGCCTTGCGCTTGCCGCCACTGACTATCGAAATCTCAGGAACTTCAGCCCCAATAAGAGGTTTGGCAGGGTAGATTTACAGGGAGCAAGCACCAGGGTCTGATTGGGTTGCAATTGAGGGTGTGAAGCACTGGCATAAAATACGAAATGAGTGTCAGTCAGGCGAGTGTGGAGCAGGGGCTGATGTGCTGTGCCGCGAACACCCCTCGAAGGAACGACGACCACCGACCGACAGAACACAACAAACTGCTTTTCTTGCTCTTTAACCTTGACCTCCATACATCCTGCCCTGTCCTAACTATCCTAACATCATTTCGCGAAGAAAGAGGAAGAAGAAGGAGAGAAAGAAAGAAAGAGAGAAAGGGAGAGATAATAATAATTAAAAAAAAAAATACATCAGGATTACATATCTACATATCGAGAACTCGTTTACGCACGAGCCCCCGAAATACGAAATACAGAGCCGCTCGCTTTACAACCCCACGGAATATACTACATTTTTCTTTTTCTCTTTGTTTCTGCTAAGTGAGGGGGTAAATCTCAGTCAATTCAGTTCATCGGCTAGTCATTCAGGCTTCGGTGGGTCCGTACAAGAATTAATCCAGACAGACTGACTTGGAGAGCTTGAAGTCTCCGGAGGCTACGAAACGACCGCGCACACACAGCTCTCGGCGGCGGGCGATCGAGGCGACTATCACACTGGCTGATGGTAGCTTTGAGAACTGCCAAGAAATATAGAATATTATCCGAGGAGGGAGCAATAGTAGGGGGTGTTAGGGCGTTAGAAGAAGAGCTGAAGAAGGGAAAGGAAGAGTAATGGTCTCGCGTCAACGCTCTGCGAGCGTGCTTTCCCAGAACAACCCTTCGATCGCAAGCACGCCCTCACCCGGGGGAATGAACATGAGCAGTGCAACTCCTGGTAGTGGCATGAACACCCCAGGGACAGTACACTATCTGCACGACCCCGAGCAGCTGAGCGAGATCCCAAATTTTACGGGTAACTTCTTACCTATCCCGACGTCGGGTTCAGGTGCGGGATACAATACGATGATGACCCGCCCAAGAGCTCATACAAGTGCTGCCTCATCGCCTGCGGATATTGGTGGTGGAATGTTTGCCGGAATCCAGCCCAGACAACCTTCTCGAAATTCAATGTTACCGGGCCAGCCCGGTATGGGATTGCGACATGTTTCGACACCAGTGTTGGATAATCGTAATGGGCCAGGTGGAATGGTAGGCGTAGGGCCAGGAGGTGGAGTCCCTGGAAGCATAGGTGGAGTTGGAAATAATAATGGCGGGTTTTCAATTGGGAATTCCCCAATGCAAAACGGAATCGGAATTCCTCCTCCACCCCCTCCTCCGCCCCCGCCCCCGCCCCCGCCCCCCCCACCACCTCAAAAGGATCCTGGGTACCACCCCCATTATGCTACCGTGGGGAGAGGAAGGGACAGCATGATGAACTTTTATGCGCAACAACAGCATTTGCAGCAACAACAGCAGCAAAATCTACTGCATCAACAACAGCAGCAACAGCAGCAACAGAGACTCCAACCCCAATACGGGGCTTACAATCCTCATCAACACCCACCACTGTCCTCTTCGGTCCCAAAAGCTCAGTTAACCCCTATGTCTGTGCCTCTCCATAACGGGGTCAGTGCTGGTACCACATCCGCCGTCAACGGCAACGGCATCACTGTGCAACAGCAGCAGTACACCCCACATTCACATCTCCATCACCCTCCCCATCATCCCCAACGCCCTCCCCCTGAAGTGCCTCCTATGTACCGCCAGCCATCAGCCCAGTCCTCAGAGAGCCTCACTTCTTTTGTGCGCCTTGAATCGTCCGAGGCAGATTATATGTCTGCACCTCTCCACCCCAACGGCTCATCTGTATCTCTTGTGCAACAACAGTCAGGCAATCGTAGTGTTAGTGCTAGTCAGATTCCCGTGGGGGGTATTACCCGGTCATCTCATGTATCCCATTCTCAACAGTCTCCTCTTGTAGCATCGAACTCGTCTGGTCCCCTCTCGTCAGAATCAGAAGCTGCAATCTGGACACTGGATAGGGTCATCAACTATCTCGACCGTCACGAATTCTCGAAGGAATGGCAACAGGCTTTCCGTAATCTCAATATCCACGGCCAAGAGTTTCTGGATATGGGCCATCATAGTTCCACAAGCCTTCTAGAACGCGTGCAACCAGAAGTGCTGAGAATTTGTGGCCAACACGCCGAACCGGCAAAAGAAAGGCAGGCGGCAAAGAACATCAAAAAGATGGTGCGCGAGATGTTGAAATTGACCAAAGTTGTCCCAAACACCCCGCCGTCCTCCTCAGGACAGATCAGTCCTCAGAATCGGAACGACTCCTTCTCCTCAGCCGAGAGGGGCGAGTCGCCAAGTAAGCAACCACACCTGAAATCTCCAGTCCAGACGCGGTTCAATCCCAATAGCAGATCGACAACCTTACCCGTTATGCATCCGGATGGGAGCTACTCGTCCTCGACTGAGCAACCGCCGTACACTAGAGGCAGTAGCGACAGCAGGATAGAGCAGCTACATCGTCCGAATGGGTCAGACTCTGGCCCGAAGAGTAGAGCTCTCAATAATGTTGTCGACCAGGTGGGTCGACATAGTCCGTCTAATTCGGAGACAAGCATTCGTGAACCCCAGGAAAGTTGGGGATATAACAATTTCACTGGAAAACAGCCAATCTCAAATTCGCCTCGTAACTCACCTAGTTTAGGTTACCAGACTATTCCTACCCATAGACACGAGAAGAGCAACTCGACGGAGTCAATTGCGTCAAGTATAAATAATAATATGATGAATAGAGCAGGCGATGGAAAGGGAACAACCAAAGCACTTCAAGTTCTAGGAGTACACCCCAAGCCGGTTGAGAGGCAAGATACGCATGAGAAGTCCAGGGGTACAAAGATTGTTGATAAGATCCGAACTAGACTAGGGGCGAGGAAGGAATCGAAAGATGATGAGAGTATGGACGATGTTGATTCGCCAACTTCACCAGGTTGGAGATCGGCTGGTGTTCCTTTTTCAATCGCGGAACATAATGCCAGTGATTCTTCGCTCGATCGTCATTCAATTTCATCGGTTGATGTCAATCTACGAGGGAGGCAAAAGGTTTCTAGGGCAGCAACTGCGGCGAATGGCGTTACTGGAGCTGCAAATCAAAGAAAGTTTGTATTTGCAACGAAAGATGGAAGGATCTGGGTTTTGGTTGAAGTTACAAAACTGGATACAGTGGAATCTCTACGGAAAATGGTTTGCGCGGAGTTGGGGATTGGCGAGTGGGATATTGCATCAATTCATCAGACGGAAGTCGGTCAAGGAGCAAATGGTACGATTTATTCGCCTCTTTTCCCAGGATATAGCTAACTTGTGACCTATAGAAGAACCTGCTCTTACGGACGATCAGTTAATACAATCTTACAGGACAAAGGCAGATAGCGTTGCGAGTTTGAGATTTTTCGTTTGCCCTGCAGTGCAGTCTTACGATGCCACAGCTGCGGCGAATGCCACTAGTCAACTGAATTCTCCAGCTCAGTTAGGTTTCTTCAACAGCGAGCAACAGCGAGGCTTGAAGCCGCACCCATTGCAAGTTGAGCGCGCAAAGAGCCTGTTAAATTCAGAAGCCTCAACATTAAAACAAGGTGACTTTAATTCTCCACTTAGATCTCTTGAAGAATTTCATGAAGGCATAAAGACTTCTCCGCCAGTGGACGGATTTGATGAACTACGGGAGAGATTGGCACTTCTGAAAAAATACCAAGAACAGGGAATTTCTGGGAGCCCACAAATCAATGTCATTAATACCCCTAGTTCGCCGCATGCTCCACGGGCACCCCATCCATCTATTCATCCTTCACCTTGCGATCCCCTTCCTGGCCCTGCATCCGCATATCCAGGAGGCGATTGGCAAGGCGGTTTCGCGTTGAAGACAGCGGATCAGAGAAACGGAAGTACTAATTCTCCCATAGATGGTGGCCCCTCAGCGGCACGTCAGGACGAACTCTTCTTTCCCCAGGGCTCAGCACAGGGTGGATCTTTCAATTCTTTCCCTAACGGCCCTCACAAGGGTTCTGCGGGTACTTCACAATTGGAGGCCGCAGCCCAAAGTCACAGAAATAAGCTGGATAAACAACATCAACATCGTGAGCCGGTACAGCATAAAGGATTTGAACGGGAGAAGAATCCTGGTTTCGTTAAGGTTCAGACTGCACCTTATGCAGGTAGGGGAGTGGTTGATTTTGATAACCCAAGATCATCGCCGTACGAAGATAAGCAGTTTGAGCCATTGATCCCACAGAGGAGACCGCCGCCGCCGCCGCCAGGCGCGTCCGCTCGTAATTCAGTAGTTTCTCTAACTAGACGCGACTCGACGAAGAGCAACGCTAGTTGGAATCAGGATGAGCGTACTCACATCGAGTACCCGCCCGTGCCAAGGAGGGTGAGCGTGCGACGACGGAAGGGGCAGGAAATGTCAGAGGTCGGAACAAAGAGGAAGGCTGTCCCGCAGATGCGACACCCTGACCTTGGAGTGCAGAGTGGGTTCCCAGCGATCACTGGTAGTCCTGGAGGTGCTCTGGCTTCGCTACTTTCAGGGGGTTTGATGGGGGCTGGCATTACCAAAACACCGATTCCTGGCGTTCCTAGGGAACTGACAAGGGACCCTGCGCCATCTGCATCTACAGTTTCACTACCCACATATTCTAATCAACCAAACCAACAACATCATCAAACAGGAGTTAACGAGCCTTCAGGACCACAGCGTGCAATTGCTACAGTCAATTTTGGAGAGTCAAGCTCAAGCAGCCCTCGCTCAGGTGGGACCCCAAATAGCCCTGGCTTTACATGGGGTAAAGGAAACCAATTGTTCAATCAACCTGACCACGAACCAGAAGTAGGAGCTGGCCCTGGGAAGCTCACATTACACATTCCGGATGTTGCACGGCAAGCATCGCCTGAGATCAGCTTCGGCATTAGCGGGGACGCTCCCCCAGGTATTCGAAAATCAGTATTTGGGACTGATGGGGAAATTCCTTTCAGAGAAAACGAGGTTCATTTTGATGGTGATGGGTTTGAGGCTACGGGTGAACTAGATGACGATAAGGATGACAGTGACGACGGGTTGTTTGCGAAACCTTTGAGGCAGACAAAGCAACCTAAAGTGGAAGCTCCGGAGGCTGAACCGATTCCCGAGAGACAATTGGATTCTCCAAAACCCACTTTGACACTCTCGACCAAGAATGTGACATTCAAGCCAACGCCGAATACTTCGGCGACAGTAAGCGGTAGTGCAACAACCGCGCAATCACCCCCCACACCCGAGTTTGAAGAAGGTGATGATAAGCAGGGGCTCAATTCGCCGGCTGGATTCCAAAACCCATGGTCGGCGCCTCAGTCGGCTGTTGCGCAATCACCAGCAGACCTTATGCGTATTGGTCGTCAAGATTCTTTCAACTCAAAAGACAATTGGGCGTCGCGTCCCCCTCCAGAAGCGCTTATTAACCATCTTGACGAGTTTTTCCCAAATCTTGATCTTGATCAGCCAATCATCGATGAGGCTGCCACTACTTCACCACCCGCGTCCCCGGTTGTAGTTACAGAGAACGAACCGAAGACGTATCAATTAACAGATACACCTGCATCCTCATCTGCATTAATAGAAGGCACATCGTCTGATTCTGTACCCGTTGCGTCAGATGCTCCGGGAATCAAGCGGGCAGTACCATCAGTGGCACAACGGAGTCTTGGTCGCTCACAACTTGGCAGAATGAAGTCAATTCGTGAAGTTGCTAAGGGGGCACACGAGCAGCGGAAGCGATATACGAACCCAAATATTCAAGGCATTAAAAACGGTGACATTCTGCGTCGCAAGAGCACAAAATTGTTTGGTGCAAAACTTATTGAGGTTAAGCCCGGTGAAGGGAAGCGGGGAGCCATGCAGCAGCAATTACAGGTCCAACAACCTCAACAACAGATGCAGCAGCCGCTTGGTGGAATTAAGCGTCAAGCTACCTTTAGATGGTTCAAGGGACAACTAATCGGAAAGGGAACTTACGGGAGAGTGTACCTCGGAATGAACGCAACTACGGGAGAGTTCTTGGCAGTGAAACAAGTTGAGGTGTCGAGACATGTATCCCCAGGTGAATCTGAACGCCAGAAAGAAATGATCGCTGCGCTCAACCAGGAAATCGACACCATGCAGCACCTCGACCATGTCAATATCGTCCAGTATCTTGGGTGCGAGAGAAGGGAGCTGAACATGAGCATTTTCTTGGAGTATATCTCTGGTGGCAGTGTAGGAAGTTGCTTGAGGAAACATGGACGCTTCGAAGAACCGGTGGTTCGAAGCTTGACAAGGCAGACACTGAGCGGCTTGGAGTACTTACATCGTGAGGGGATCTTGCACAGAGATTTGAAGGCTGATAATATTTTGCTTGACGTTGACGGCACTTGCAAGATTTCAGATTTTGGTATTTCGAAGAAGAGTGGTGAGTTGTAGATTATTTGTCGGTTCTTGGTATTTTCGCTAACAATTGAGTGTCAGATAACATTTATGGTGATGATCCTGGTAACTCTATGCAAGGATCAGTCTTTTGGATGGCGCCTGAGGTTATCAGACCCGAGAAACAAGGCTACAGTGCCAAGATTGATATCTGGTCGCTCGGGTGTGTGGTACTCGAAATGTTTGCTGGCCGCAGACCATGGAGTAAGGAGGAAGTTATTGGTGCCATCTACAAGCTTGGTAGCGAAAGACAGCCGCCGCCAATTCCCGAGGATGTCTCTGAAGTTGTTTCTCCAAGTGCTATTGGATTTTTGGCGGATTGCCATACTATGTAAGTCTTTTTACTCACTGAATGAGCGAGGAGAATCCTAACAATGAATTAGTGAACCATCCGAGAGACCGACTGCTGCAACGCTGTTGAATGAGCATGAGTTCTGCTCGTTGGACCCGAACTTTAACTTCGAGAAAACAAGCCTTTACTTGAAGATCAATCCTACATTTACTACAGAGTGAAATTCATCGGGTTTATGTCTTCAATTTCCTTTCCAAATCACCGGCTTCGGCAGATTCTTACTTCTATTGTTTTCATAATTTATTCATTCGTTTATTTCACTTTACATTACTACTATTGACTATTGATCTAAATCTAGATCCTTTCCTTCCTTCCTCCGTTTTTTTTTTTTTTTTTTTTTTTAATATGCTGGAAGTTATTGTTGATGACCGGCAAGAAAACACACAAGTTCTATGCCGGTCAAGCGAAGACAAACTTTTTAGTCTTATATACTTTTTTATTTTATTTCTTTCCTACCTTTTTCGAATATCGTCATTTCAATTTTTTCACGCTCGTTCATTCGTTTCATTTGTCCTTTTGTCTATCTCACATGGCGTTGAAGGGTTTGAGTAACAGTTTACTTACGATAGCGGAAGGGAGGTGTGGACGAGCGTGAATGAATATCATGTTTGTCTTCTTTGTGTTCTTGTTTTTGTTTGGCTTTTTCTCGCGATATTTATTGAACGGGATATTCGGGGGTCAATATGACTCGCCATTTGTAAAATAGATCGGTTTCCATATTGTAATTATAGAGTATACCTATCTAGTGGGAAACACGCAATTTCCTAATTGGAGCTCCTTATGTAAATTTATATCACCGTTGTCATATGGCCCCATGGCCATCTAAATACATGTAGTATCTTAAATACTTTGAAGACGGAGGGTGGAGCGGGTGAGGCGAGGGTTTACTTACAGTCTGTCTGTACATCTCGTACTGGTTTATCTTCTGCGAGGCCGCAAGTTGCACGTAGCTTTTTCTTAATTAATGCTTTTAGGCCGCGTTCTAGCAACCGCCAGTTCAAATATTGTGAGGTTGCGACCTGCCAATGTAGCAACGGAATATTTCTTGCAATCTAGCAGAAATAAGATGGTGAAGGCATGTTCGGTTGCCAGTGTTCCCGCAACCCCCATAGTTTCCCGGGCCACATCGTCAACCTCCAATAAACAGCGTTAATAAATGAATTAGAATATTCTATTTAAATTATATTAGGGTCACAGTGGTTGAGAGCTACAAAAATGGCGGTAAAAATATTGGTGAGTTTAGTAGCGAATTTAGTGGTGATTAGGGTGGTGAGGATCGTGCAATGCAAGCTTCAATATTTTGGTCTGAGTAGAATATTTTAGATTGTGATATTGGGGCTCTAATAATTAGTATATAGCTATACCGAGTATGCAATCTGTATTTTAGAGGCTTTGATTGGCTGTATATGTGTTCCGAACGCTTCCTCATCCCGAGACACCCACACCCAGGGTGGTGAGTCAGCTAAAAAGAAAGGTTATGTTAGAGGTTATGTTAGGTTACCGTTTCTTTTTGTTGTTATTGAATTCTCCTGTTTGATGATTGTGATATGTTTTGTGATTTTGAGATGTTTAATTGGGATCATTATATGTTTTGTGATTGTGATATACCAACGGTATACCACTTTAGCAGAGCAGGGCAGAGTCAGTGCACCTCTCTGGTGATACTCTTTACTATTCCTTATTTTATTAACCCTACCGGCCAAAGGCCGGACCCAGCTTGTATCATATAAAGTGGTAGCCTGAACACTATCAACAGAAAAGATCTCACATATTGTGCTAAGCTGGCTAAATATCATGATATTTCAAGCTCAAACTCTGAGTTCTTCAAGTTGGCAGTGGGGAAGACCCACCTGTTCTCTACTGAACTCTATCAATGTTCATTGGAGTCTTGAGCTAGTTCTATGCCATGACATATACCAGGGAGCTTAATGAGAGAAAGAACACTGTACGCTTTGGAGTGAAACAGGAGTTCAATAGATTTTGTGAGGAGCCTACATGATTCTCAGACAACACGGGCTCAGGCTCAGATAACAGAAACTAAAGCTTGTATTGATTTTGGTGGTGATTTTGTGATGATGAACAAATGAAAGAAACGAGACTATAAGATACAATGAGGGTCTAGCTACTGCCACGGTTGCTATTACGTGACCTGTCCTTGACTTGTAGTCTATAACGTGGGTCTATGGACGAGAGACTATAGTGCCAAGGAATACAACCGAGGCGAGAACGTAGTAGAGTATATTCTTGACTATGGCTATGGGATGGTTCAATCCTGATCGGAGATCCAAGATGAGCCCTATGATGTAGCGTAGTAATATTCGTGGAGTAGAATACAGAGAGAGAGAGAATCTTATATTGCATAGAAGCCGAAGCTTATCGCACACCTAACTACCCGACTACAACCTCCACCGACTAACCCGAAGACAAAAACAAAGTACAAAACCTAACTACCGCAGCTACGAGAACTACGTACATGATAATAAAAACAGCGCACAAAGAGGGCGCGAATAACAAGTGGTACAGGTAAGCAGAATCTAAGCGACAACAAAGAAACCTCCCCGTGGTAAGAAAGAACCCCAGACTTCTCCGTCAACTACATTAGCGAGCACAATCCTAAACATGGTGTTCAACCGAAACGGTATCATTACCAACGTCCCCGGTGTCATATCTGTAACGGCAGCTAGGCGGATTGGCTATGTGAGTTGTCTGGGTATAAGGGAGAAGGATTATGTAGTGTGGTTGGGTTTAGCGAAGCGAGTTTCTATTATGTTCTTTCTGTTTCTGTTATGCGAGGGTATGAGTCAGCATTGGGATAGGGTATGGATATATAAGGGGGGCGTTGTCTTGTGATTTCTTGTTTCTCTTTCTTTCTCTTTTCTCTTTATGCAACCTCTGTGCTTTACAGTCACGAATACTATTTGGTTCGCGCTACGTCATAGGGTTTACCCGGTATACTAGACCAGGTACAACCATTCATAGTCCATAGTCCACAGTCCCCGTTCTTGCCTTAGGTGTACCCTTCGGCCCCATAGTCCATAGTCCACAGTCCCCGTTCTTGCCTTAGGTGTACCCTTCGGCCCCATAGTCCATAGTCCACGAACCTCCCACGTCCACGTCTTCGCCTCGGTTGTATTCCTTGGCTTCATAGTTCCTACGCCCATAGTCCCCGTTACACTTAGGTTGCATCCTCTACAGCCAACCGATACAACACCACCTTGCTTAGCTCTGGTCGTGACTATGTCCGACATCACTCAGGATACGCTGTTGCAGCGTCTTTCAGAATTTCTGACCACCAATGGTCCCCTCCCAGCCGATATAGACTTCGGCGAAGAACTTACGGAGGCTCATAGTCTTATTGCTGAGTGTTTGGAGGCTCTCACCAAGCCTCTTGACACCCCCGCGCCACTAGAACCCGTTATCGACACGGCTCAGGAAGAGGTCATTGCCGGCCTCACTACAGAACTAGAAGCAGCCAATGAAAAGGCTGCCGATTTTTGGCAAACCTTGTGCGATAACCAGGAAGATTTTACCGAAATCATCCGAGGTCGCGACAAGGTTATCGTTGATTTGAAGATTGAGCTGGAGGAATCGAAGGTTGAAGAAGAAGAGCTTCGGTTCCGTCTGGCACTACACCAGGAAAGTCTCGCCACTGCCGACGAGAACCTCGCTGATGCTGAAGATGAAATTCTTCACATCACTTCTGTTGCAAAAGCCTGGGAAGTTCAAGCCAATGCCACTATTGCCGATCTTCGCTCCCGTGTCTCCGTTTCTGCCGCTAGAGTTAAAACCCAATCTCGCCATGGTTCCAAGTCTCGCTACCTCGCCCCTCGCTCCCAAGACCCCCGTACCATCAACAATTGGCGAGAAAAGCCAATTGAACAAGTGTCTCAAAAGCCGGCGTTAAAAGGTCAGCCCCTTTGGTAAAAAATGGCAAATCAAAGGGGCCAGCCCCGCCACCTGTTCCTGTTCTCCCTGCTGCTGCTGTGTCTGAGGATAAGATGTCCGAAGACTCTCTTGTTGTTACCTGTTCCGTCTCCCAGAATCCCGACTTCTTCGTCCCCACCTATGCTCTCATCGATACGGGAGCATCAGGTTATGCGTTCATCGATCATGGTTTTGTGAAAAAGCATGGACTCTCCTTGGAACCCCTGAAAACATCACGCCTACTCGAGGTAATCGATGGTAGGCCAGTCAAATCAGGAAAAATTACCCATGTTGCTCGCCTCTCGTTAGATATCCATGGCCATCAAGAAACTGCTTTGTTTTTCGTTACCCATCTAAGTCACTATCCAATTGTGATGGGAATGCCTTGGATGCGGCAACATGATGTTACCATTCGACCAAAGGAAAATCTACTCGTTTTTAACTCTCGGAACTGCTGTCAACACTGTTCACTCAGTGGAACGGTGGTTACTGTCCATGGCATATCGATCCCCTTACCAGAATTTCATACAGTTGTCAGCTCAGTAGCTGATAAGTCCACCACCGACGTCAAGCAACTCGTACCAAAGGAATTCCACCATCGCCTTCATATGTTTAAAGAATACGATGCCTCAGTCCTTCCACCTCACCGACCCTCCCATGACATTGAAATAATTTTGGAAGAGGGTAAACGACCACCGTATGGACCCATCTATGGCCTGTCGCAGACTGAATTGAAAGCATTACGGGAATATCTTGATGAGAACTTACCCAAAGGATTTATTCGGGCCAGTGAATCACCGGCGGGAGCACCTATAGTATTCGTAAAGAAAAGTGATGGGACTCTCCGGCTATGTGTGGATTACCGAGGCCTCAATGCGATCACGGTCAAAAATCGGTATCCGTTACCACTGTTAAAGGAAACTTTGGCTAAACTTTCGAAGGCACAGTACTATACCAAGTTGGATCTACGTTGGGGATACAATCAGATCAGGGTAGCAAAGGGAGACGAATGGAAAACGGCATTTAGAACTCGATATGGACATTTCGAGTATACAGTAATGCCGTTCGGATTAGCCAACGCCTCCGCCACCTTTCAACATTGGATTAATGATATCCTACGGCCTTATCTCGATCAATTTGTCACGGCTTATTTGGATGATATCCTAATTTATTCGGAAACTTTGTCAGAACATAAGGATCACGTCCAGAAGGTTTTGAAGGTACTTGATGAGAATCATGTTCACCTTAAACCTGAAAAATGTGAATTTATGGTCCAGGAAACGAAATATCTCGGCCTTATTCTTACCCCGGATGGGAATAGGATGGATCCGAAGAAAGTTGTTGACGTATTAGAATGGTCCACACCACGGAATCTCCATGATGTTCAAGTATTTTTGGGATTTGCAAATTTTTATCGACGGTTTATTTTGGGATATTCGAAAATTGTTGCTCCGCTTACAGCCTTGACAAAGAAAAATATCAAATTCGAATGGACGGATGAAAGGGAGGAAGCATTCCAGACATTGAAAAAGATGTTTACAACGGCACCCATACTAATGCACTTTGATCCGGATCGGAAAATCGTGGTAGAAACCGATGCATCCGACTATGTTTCTGCTGGAATCCTGTCCCAACGTGACGATGAAGGAATTCTACATCCAGTCGCTTTCTTCTCTAAGAAACATTCCCCTGCGGAATATAACTATGAAATCTATAACAAAGAACTTCTGGCAATCGTACGATGTTTTGAGGAATGGCGACATCATTTAGAGGGGGCACAATTCCCAATTGAAGTTCTTAGCGACCATCGGAACCTTGAATATTTCATGTCAACAAAATTATTAAACCGTCGACAAGCCCGTTGGTCGGAATTTCTTTCACGTTTCGATTTCGTCATTCAATTTAGACCAGGGAAACAAGGGGTAAAGCCGGATGCATTGACTAGGAGGTCGGGTGACCTACCTAAGGAGGGAGATGAGCGGTTGACGCATCAAAGCAAGGTGGTTTTGAAGTGAAAAAATTTGGATTCAAAGCTAAGTTTGTTCGCGGGTTCTTTTTCAAATGAATCCGCTGAAGGAATGTCCACTGTAGAAGGGTTATTTTTAAATGCTTACCAAGTTGACAGTTTCCCGAATAAAGTCCTTGCAATGCTTCGGAATGGCGTCCGTTACTCGAATAAGATTTCGCTTGCCGAATGTACGGAAGACAATAACGGTCGGCTACTTTATCGTGGAGCACTCTATGTACCGGATGACAACGATCTTCGGCTAAGACTCCTAAAGGAACATCATGACAAACCATCGGCAGGCCATCCAGGCAGAGCAAAGACTTTAGAACTCCTGAATCGAGAGTACTACTGGCCACAGATGCGAAAATATTTCGACCAGTACGTTAGGAATTGCAATGTATGTACCCGTAGCAAGGCACCACGCAATGCACCTTATGGGGTACTTCGACCTATGCCAATACCCGATGGACCATGGAGGGACGTATCAATGGATTTCGTTACTGATCTTCCAGAAAGCGATGGATATAATGCGATATTGGTAGTAGTGGATCGACTAACCAAGATGCGACATCTGATTCCAACCACTAAGGAGGCGGATTCCAAGGAAGTAGCTAGGCTGTATATCGATAATGTTTGGAAGCTACATGGACTACCGGAAACTATGGTATCCGATCGAAGAACTGTAACGGCAGCCATTTGGTTTGGTCATGCGAGGTGTTAGGGTACGAAGAGGAAGGGTTATGCAGTGTGGTTGGGTTTAGCGAAGCGGGTTTCTATTATGTTCTTTCTGTTTCTGTTACGTGAGAGTATGAGTCAGCATTGGGATAGGGTATGGATATATAAGGGGGGCGTTGTTTCGTGATTTCTTGTTTCTCTTTCTTTTCCTTTTCTCTTTATGCAACCTCTGTACTTTACAGTCACGAATACTATTTGGTTCGCGCTACGTCATAGGGTTTACCCGGTATACTAGACCAGGTACAACCATCTATAGTCCATAGTCCACAGTCCCCGTTCTTGCCTTAGGTGTACCCTTCGGCCCCATAGTCCATAGTCCACGAGCTTCCTACGTCCACGTCTTCGCCTCGGTTGTATTCCTTGGCTTCATAGTTCCTACGCCCATAGTCCCCGTTATAAGAACACAATTCGTTGCGGAGTTTTGGAGGTCCCTTTGTGATCGCCTAGAAATATCGCCAAAGTTCTCTACCGCGTTTCACCCCCAAACGGATGGACAGACAGAAAGGATTAATGCTGTAATGGAACAATATCTTCGAAGTTATGTTTCTTATCAACAGGACGACTGGGTTCGATGGTTGCCCATGGCCGAGTTTGCAACAAATAACCATGCTTCGGAAACGACGAGGATCTCTCCATTTTACGCTAATTCAGGGAGGAATCCAAGAATGACTTTTGGTCCTCTGGAACATGGCAAGACGACAGCGGAAGACCAAGCGAATACCATTGCACGAGAGATGAAGGATATACTAGACGTTTTACGAGCTGAATTGTTCCGAGCGCAAAGGATTCAAGAAGAGTCGGCTAATATAAATCGGACTCCAGCGCCTCACTATCGTGTAGGGGATAAAGTTTTCCTATCGACCCGCCATGTCCTCACCAAACGACCCTCGAAGAAACTCGATTGGAAGCGTATTGGGCCATATGTCATTAAGCGAATTGTGAATCCCTATGCCTATGAATTAGAACTTCCCCGTTCTATGAAGGTCCATCCTGTGTTTCATATTTCGTTACTGTCACCGGAAGCCATTGATCCCCTACCGGGTCAGCAACAATTGCCGCCACCCTCAGTCGAAATTGAAGGTCAAGAGGAATGGGAGGTTGAAAACATTTTGGATTCCAGAAGCCGTCGGGGAAGGTTTGAATACTTGGTAAAGTATATTGGTTATGATGAAGCTTCGTGGCAGCCATTGTCGGATGTCGAGCACTCGCCCGATATCGTCAAACGATTCCATGAACGTTATCCACGGAAGCCTAAGCCTACCAGGAGGTAGGCCTTAGAGGGGGGAGTGGTCTGTAACGGCAGCTAGGCGGGTTGGCTATATGAGTTGTCTGGGTACAAGGGAGAAGGATTATGTAGTGTGGTTGGGTTTAGCGAAGCTGTTTGGGGAAATGCCAATGCTAAGCGGTAGTTCTGTAGCTTTTAAACTTGTAATATTGTAAACCGGATTCCGCTCGCTGAGTGACTGATGATGCCACTAAGACGAGGCAGAATCCTCCTTATTTATACATATTGGAACCTATGCCAAGGCCCGCTTTCTAATACTAAAGAGATAACGATAATAGAATAAGATAATCAACCCGAAGATAACCCCAGTAGAAAAGCGCCCCCGCATAGTTCCGTTCCTCCATTCCAATTCTGACACGTAACCATAAACCCCGCAATTGCCAGTAACCGAGCTGTATCATGCTATTGTCCTAGAGCTACTTCCCTAAGTAGAATGGCCTGCAGCCATAAGCCCCGCTTCTATTCCGTTCCAGGTGAGACACCCAATAGTAAGCGTGCCCTCACAACAGCCTAATACTAGTGTGGTTGCACCCGGTGCCCCCACACCCCTCGGTACCTTCCTATGCTTGTTCCTTTGTTACCCAACCGTACTCGCATCACAACCCATCACTCATATTATCCTTATTCCTTGACTTAGGAGCAGTGTTCGTGTTTCCTGTAACACTACTCCCCCTTCCTAGACGTCGCCCTCGACCGTTAAAACCTCTCTATGATAAAAACCCTCTGGGAAAAGTCATAGAGTAGGAAAGGTATCGAGCTAGTCTTCCCTAGTCCGTTGTCGTTTCGGAGGCCGACTCGAGTCGATGACTGGCCCTTGACTCCGTGTATGGGGCCGAATATTCGTGGTTGGTTTGAAGTTCTCATCTAAGAACGCTTCTTGAGGATCGGGTGTTGCGAGTCGTTTTCGTGTGTTCTGTTGCCTGCCAGGGTTGGGATCCTCTCGATAAGGTCGCAACAACATCTCGTGGAATACGTCATGAACCTTCCATTCTACCGGAAGATTCAATCTATAAGCCCTATTTCCTACAGCCGCGGCGACTTCAAAAGGGCCTGTGAACTTGTCTGACCACTTATTATAACCGCCGAGGTTCCGAGTATCCAGCAAGACCTTTTGACCGATTGTGAACCGCTGAGCTGCTGGTCCTGGCCTCGATGCCATTCTGTCAAAGGTTTTCTGCAGCGTATCTCTTGCGGACTCGTGGGCTAGTAGAAGGTCTTCCAAGTAGGTACTTCCCTTGGCATCCAACTGCCCGATTTCCGCGTTTGTTGGCCAATCCGTTCGTGGGTGGAAACCGTAGTTGCAATAGAACGGTGACTGTCCAGTTGACGAGTGCTTTGCATTGTTATATGCGTACTCGCAGATCGGTAGTAGGTCCTTCCATTTCTTTCCTGTTCCTGCGGTATAGCCCCGGATGTAGGATTCGAGGTGCTGGTTGGTCCTTTCTGTTTGTCCATCCGTCTGTGGGTGGAACGAGGTCGAGAGTCTTCTACGAATCCCTAGTCGTTCTGTGATCGCAGCCCAGAAAGCCGATACGAACTGTGTTCCTCTGTCAGAGACAATGCTCCTAGGAAGTCCGTGAAAGCGCCAAATGTCCTTGACAAAGGCGTTAGCAGTCTGTTCCACGTTGATTCCCGTCATTGGAATGAAGTGAGCCATTTTCGTAAAACGGTCCACGACTACCAATACGTTACGGAATCCTGATTTCTCCTTTGGCATTTCTACTACGAAATCCATTGAGATATCAGTCCAAGGTGTGGTGGCTAACTCTAGGGGTTGAGGGAGTGACAAGTGTCTCCGACGTTGCTTGGCTCTCTGGCACACGTCGCAAGTCTTGACGAAGTTGGCTACATCCGTGGACATTCCTGGCCACCAGTAGTTCCTATCGATCAACTCAAGGGTTTTATCCCTTCCTAGATGCCCCGCTACGGGTCTGTCATGATGATCCTCGATGACTTGTCTGACCGCGTATCCTGGCACTACCCAACGACCATCGTGGGTGGCCTCATTCGATCCCGGGGTCCATTCAGTGGCAAGCTCCGTTATTACGGCATCAGCTTCCTCTGTCCCGAAGACTTCAAGGTTTGCGTCAGGGAGAGGTTCATCCCGGAACACTCTCCGAACCCATTGTCTGTCCTGTTCATACCAGTCTTGTAGTGGCTAAGGCAGCTCAGTACCTGGTATGTCGTACCACTGATCCAACGGAGTCCATCCTTCTTCGGGGTTGCCAATGATTTCAGGGCCAGTTTCTACACTGGTCCGTGATTTCCTGACAAATTGTTCTGCGCTGAGCAACTGTTTTACGGGTTGTTCACGCATTACTCCCCCTTCCATAGCGAACTCTGGGCGCCTTGTGAGTGCATCTGGCTTGCCATTCTTTTCGCCTGGTCGGTAATGAATCCTGAAGCGAAAAGGTGCTATCTTTTCGGCCCATCTGGCTTGTCTTCTCGACAACTTCTTGGTCGTTGTGAAGTACTGTAGGTTCTGATCATCCGAATGTATCTGGATAGGAATGTCCGTTCCTTCCAGCCAATGTCTCCAAGTCAAGAGAGGAGAGACTATAGCGAGCATCTCCTTGTCATAGATCTCGTAGTTTACCTCTGCTTCGTTGAACTTGCGAGAGTGGTAAGCTACCGGGTGTAGAATACCGTCCTCGAACACCTGAGAGAGTACTGCGGCCTCAGCCCAGTCACTCGCGTCAGTTTCTATAATCGCTTCACGGTGTTCGTCATAGTGTCGTAGTATTGGGGCAGACGTAAATCTCTCCTTGAGTTCGTCGAAAGCACTTTGCTGTTCACTGCTCCATCGCCATACGGAACCTTTCTTCAAGAGATCGGTCATTGGTCGGCAAACTTCGTAGTACCTGTGGATGAACCGTCGTAGGAAGTTGGCGAATCCGAGGAAACATTGGAGTTCCTTGACCTTGGTGGGTGGTAACCATTCCGTAATTGCCTTCACCTTCTCAGGTGAGACCTGGTTCCCTTTCCCTGATAGTACAAATCCCAAGAATTCTACCTCCTGTTTGTACCATTCCGTTTTCTCGAGGTTCCCGTATAGATGGTTTTGTTGCAGTCGCTCCAATATCTTCCTCACAAGAGTCGTATGCTCTTCTTTAGTCTTTGAATATATTAGAATATCATCCAAGTAGACTACTACGCCTTGATCTAGCAGATCCTTGAATATGGTATTGACCATGACCTGGAACGACGCTGGTGCATTGGTTAAGCCAAAAGGCATTACCCTATATTCGAAGTGGCCGTACTTCGTTCTGAAAGCTGTTTTCCATTCCTCGCCAGCAGCAATCCTAATCAAGTTATAGCCATTTTTCAGGTCTATCTTGGTGAAGAACTCTGCTCCTTTCGTCGAGTCGGCCAGTTCTGTCATGAGTGGAAGGGGGTAGCGATTCTTGACCGTGATAGCATTTAAGCCACTATCACGGGGACTATAGGCGATAGACTGTGGTGCCAAGGAATACAACCTAGGTAGTGACGTAGACGTGGACGTAGACGTAAAGGTATACTTTGACTATGGACTATGGGTGGCTCTACCTGGTATGATAAACCGGTTGGAGCCCTATGACGTAGTGCGAACAAAGAATAATATTCGTGGAATAAAATACAGAGGTTGCGTAAGGAAGAAAGAGAAGAAGGAAAACAGACAAAAGCACGAGACAACGCCCCCTTATATATCCATCCATAATCCAACGATGACTAATACCTTCACATAACAGAAACCCAAAGAACATAACAGAAATCCCCATTACAAATCCTAATTCCACTGCACGATACCTCCTTCCCTCATCCCAGTTCATCACCTAGCCGAAATACATAGCTGCCGTTACAGACCACGCCCCCCTCTAAGGCCTACCTCCTGGTAGGTTTAGGCTTCTCTGGATAACGCTCATGGAATCGTCTAATAATTTCAGGTGAATGTTCAAGGTCCGATAGCGGTTGCCAGGAGGCTTCGTCATATCCCATATATCGTACCAAATATTCAAATCTTCCTCTTCGTTTCCTCGAATCCAAAATATCTTCGACTTCCCATTCTTCCTCCCCTTCGATTTCAACTGGAGGTGGTGGTAATCGTTGTTGTCCTGGTAAAGGATCATTCGCTTCAGGTGACAATAACGAAACATGAAATACTGGATGAATTTTCATCGACCGGGGAAGTTCCAACTCGTAAGCATAGGGATTAACGATTCGTTTAACGCTATAAGGTCCAATACGTTTCCAGTCGAATTTCTTAGAGGGTCGCTTTGTTAGAATATGACGGGTCGATAGAAAAACCTTATCTCCTAAATAATATCGAGGAGCTGGAGTTCGATTGCTATTGGCTGATTCTTCTTGTATCCTTTGCGCCCGGAACATTTCTTCTCTTAGGAAGTCCACCACATCCTTCATTTCCCTTGCAATACGGTTCGCTTGATCCTCCGCCGTCGTTCGACCATGTTCCAAAGGCCCAAATGTTATCCTAGGATTCCTTCCCGAATTAGCATAAAAGGGGGAAACTTTTGTTGTTTCGGAAACGTGGTTGTTGGTTGCAAATTCAGCCATCGGTAGCCATCAGACCCAGTCATCTTGTTGATAGGAAACATAGCTTCGGAGGTATTGTTCCATTATGGCATTAATTCTTTCTGTCTGTCCATCTGTTTGGGGGTGGAATGCAGTAGAGAACTTTGGCGAGATTTCCAATCGATCACAAAGGGACCTCCAGAATTCCGCGACGAACTGTGTTCCTCGATCGGATACCATAGTGTCGGGTAATCCATGTAGCTTCCAGACGTTATCAATATATAGCCTTGCTACTTCCTGTGAGTCCGCCTCCTTTGTCGTTGGTATCAGGTGCCGCATTTTGGTTAGTCTATCCACCACGACCAAAATCGCATTATACCCATCACTCTCAGGAAGATCAGTCACAAAGTCCATCGAGACATCTGTCCAGGGTCCATCGGGAATTGGCATGGGGCGAAGTACTCCATAAGGTGCATT